TCATTCTTTTTTTTTCTTTTCAAAGTTTTATTGATAAACATATAGCAATGAGACAGTTTCAAATCAAATCGAAAGTACAGTTTCAACAATTAATACACTGACTGTCATGATTTTGAACCAGCAGCAGGACCCTGTCTCAAACAAAACACTTTTGCATTTTACATATACATCATGTATTAGTGAATATGAGTTTTCACTGTTTTGCTATTTTGTGTGTTTCTGCTATGAACATTTATGTTTAGGTTTTTGTGCAAACAATATGTTTTCATTTTTCTTGGATATATACCTAGAAGGGAAATTACTGGCTTATATATTTAACCCTCCGGGGAACTACCAAACTGGATTCCAAAGTGGGTGCATCATTTTATACTCATACAAGCATATATGAAGGTTCTAATTTCTCCACACCCCGACAACACCTGTTGTTATGTTGATTTTATTATAGCCATCATGGTGGTTATGAAGTAGTATTTCTAATTTTTGTTTATTTATAGTACATTTTTATCATTATGTTTGCAGTATATAATTATATTAATTGTGGGGTGCTGGTATAGGTACATTCCAATTGTTACTTCCCCTTGTCCTCCCTCCCCCTTTATCCTTTCTCTAGTGTTGAGGTTGACCTTGGGGCCTCCCATATGCTAGGCAAGTGCATGGTGGTGCTTCTCCCTAATCCCAGCACTCTCCTCAATCCCTGAGACAGGAAGATTGCCCAAGTTTGAGAGGCCAGGCTGGGCTACACAGCGAGTCTAAGGTCAACCTGAACTACACATTTGGGTAATACCTAGTATTTATCTCACTTTCCAAAATTTTTATCAGTATATATTTGTAGTGCATAATGATTACATTCATTGTAGGGAATTAGTACATGCACACAACACATCTAAATCCTTTTTATCCCCCTTCCCTATACCCCCTTTTTATGTTTATTTATTTTTGTATTTTACAGAAGGGTCTACAGGGTATTCAGGGTCTCACCACTAGATTGGACTAGTGATCCACCTGTTTGCAGCCTCCCAAGAGCTGGAATTACAGGTGTGTGTCACGCCCAGTCTCAATTGCCTCTCAGCCCATTGTCCCTGGGGCAGGGCCGGCACAGCAGCCTAGGGATCAAACCCCAGGCTTCTGCCTGCTTGCAGGTGCTTTAATCTGCGAGCTATTTGGCCGGCCCTCCCTCTTTTTATTTTGCTAGTATCAGATTCTCTTACATTTTCTCCCAGTCAGAAGTTTGGGAGTGACTTAGCTGGGAGGGTACTACCTTAAAATCTTTCACTAGGTTTTAACTGAGATGTTGATGAAGACTGTAGGCAATTATCTGGGGCTGGAAATCAGCTTCCAGGATGGGGCAGCCACTCACTGGGCGGTTGGGAAGGGTGCAGTTGCTCCACATGGAGCCCTCCCCAGGGACGCTTCAGTGCCATGACTTGGCTGCTTGCTTCTCCCAGGGGATGATGAAAGGGCACAGGGCTGGGGGTCTGGGTTGTAGACTTTTATGACCTAGTTTGAGAAGTCACACAAGGTCAGTCTTGTTGGCCACCTTTTCTTCATTACAAGAGGCTGTAAGTCTGGCCCACAGTCAAGGGGAACTAGGCTTCACATTTCAAGGGAAGGATTATCAGAAGATTGGTTGGTGACCTGTTAAAAGGGTTGGAGGGTGGGAAACAACTGGAGAACAAAGTCAGTGCTGGAA